TGAAGCAGTAACAGAATATACAAATTGTTTGAGAAACCCCAGCAAGGAGAGTGTAGAGAAGACATGGATGCACTGATATCTAAGAAAAAAGGTCTCTGACAGTTCCACAACTCTAGGATGGCACAAAAGAAATCAAAACACTTGCTGTGACACAGTGAAGGGAACAGACGTTGGTAGAAGAGTCAAAAGCCCAGAGCATCTGGGAAGTCCAGCTAAGAGGTAAAATAGACAGGGTAAGTGCACACCACAGATACAATGCCATAATAATCCAGGTCCCTCCATTAGTGACAGTTTGAAAGGATCACCACAATAGCCATGGATCAAAACTGGAAGAGCAAAGCCCGCCCCTTTCCCCATGGTCTCTCACATAATCTCCTAGAACATAGATGTGACATTCTGCAGAAAAGCAACAGGAGAAAAGCAGATTTTATGCGAGTAGTTAAGCTTGTTTTCTACCACTCAGAACACAAACTCCCATGATAAAAACTATACTACCCCTGGCTCCTCTGAGTTAAAATGGAAAATAATAGGCAACTTTTGCTCACTTGTGCTTCTGACCTAAGAAAGTTGTATATTATAATTTGTGTAAGCGTAACACTCATTAGGCAAGAGGTCCAATATAGTCAGAAGCCACTGACTCCTAATGCCTACCACAATGACTGTCCACAATAGACATTTGGTAAATATTTATTGGTTGATTGAAAGAATGAATAAACTGATTATATATTAGGTGTACAATAAATATGTATTCAATAAGCATTGTGAATTCTCTGGTCATTAAACAGAGAATACATTTTCATAAACAACAGTAAGAACAGTATGAGCAAACTCAAATGTTTACCACAGTGGTCCTTAAGTGCAGTGATTTTTGCCCCCAGAGCACAGTTCTTAGGACACTTTTGGTTGTCACAGTCACAGACTGTTACTGGAATCAAGTGGGTAGAGGACAGGGGGATGCTGAAAAACATCTACAACACTTAAGATAGCTCTCCATGAAAAAAAAAAAAGAGAAAGAAGCCAATAGACGCCAAGTTTAGGAAAACTTGGCTTAAACTGTTGTCCTTATATAACCTAACAACTTAGCATTTTGTTTTTCATAATTAAAGGTAAAATAGAGAAATAGTTCTAATAGACCATTGTAAGTATAAATCAAGTAAAAATTCTATCCAAATTGCTTGAAATTATCTCATTAAAATTCCTGACTTCTATATTTCTACCACTTAGCAGCTATATAAAGTATTAACAAACTAACTTTATGAGTACCACTATATTTATTGTTAAATGGAAACAATAAAATCTAGTTCAAAAATTCTCATGAAAAATAGATAACATAAAAATGCTTTGTACAGTGACCAACACATAACCAGCATTTGACAAGATGGTTGCCATCATATTATTGAGCAGATCTAAATCTGAATCTTAGACTGATCATTCCTCTAAGCTACTGGCCGATTTATTCAATGATCTACTGGGCATTATTGAGGATAAAACATTATTTTCCTACCTGAAAATTCCCACAAAAAGAAGTTATTTTAAATCATATAACTGGGGAACAGGTAAGAAAAAATGGAATGTTTCTACTTCGTGTTCTCATCTCCCTAAGTCCAACTGAAGATCGTCCTCATGCTAATTATTTCCCATTTCATTTCTCACCCAGCCACCAGAATGAGTTACTAAAGCACAGATCTGATCAACTCAGTATCCTCCTTAAACTTTCATTGGGTTTTGAATTCTCACATGGAGTATTGTTCATGATAAAAAGATAAATAGAAAAATCATTCTGTATAATAATAAAATAGAGGTCCAGTGAGATGGCTCAGCAGATCAAGGCCCTTGCTACTGAGTCTGATGACCTGAGTCAATCCCTGGAACCCACATAGTGGAAGGAGAGATCTATCTCCTGCCAGCTGTCCTCTGACTTCCACATGTGTGCTGTTCTATGCCCCCCCAAACCACAATAAATAAACAAATGTAAAAATAGAAAATAAGGCAATTAAATTATCAGAATAAACAATTACAGCAATGGATCGTTGTGGCCCATGGAAGAGACTCTAGAGTTCATACTGAGAAAAATAAATAGAAGAATATAAGTGAATAAATGAAGAAAATCTTTCCTTACATGACACTGATATTGTAAATAAGTAAATAAGCATGAAGAAAACTCTTTGTTACATTAGAATGGCAATTAATAATTGCAAAATTAATTACAGGTTATAGAATTACCATTTGGCCATCATGTGAAAACTTTAATACTAAAAGGATCTTTAACTAGTTTCAAAATATGTCCCACATTTCCTCATATTTACAAAAGAAATGGGATAATTATAAGGAAGAAATACAAAAGATACCACCCTAATGCATAAGCACAACGTGATAGCTAATAATGGGAACTACTGGCATCGTGTATCTTTATGATGCACTGAGAAGGACGTAGGGTCATTATTGCTGTTTTCCTGCCAAAACTGCATGATGTGAGCTTCTCATGAGGAAATGACAATAAGCCCCAAATGAGGCCTGGACCAGGAACCTTGTGTCCTTAAAATGCCTAGGGTCATAAAAGTCCAAGAAAACAGAATGAAAGGAAACTAAAAAGAGATGAAAAACAGACATCATGAAAAATTCTGGATTGCACCTCAGAACAAAAAATAACAGTCACAGCTCTGTAGAGCCTAGAATCTATACACACTGACTACCATTGGCATTAAATGCTTCCAAGGTCTCTGAATTTAATATTCAAACATCAAGTGCTAGAAGCTTTCAGTTTTAGTGAATTTAACAAATTTATGTTTTACTTTGGTTTTTCTATTTTGTCTTCATTTTGGTTTTGTTCCCATGTGTTCTTAACACACATCTGAGTATCCTCTCCAGTTGGCAAGTAGAAGTTTCAGGTAAACCTGTTGGCTTTGTCTTGGTACATCCTCTACACTGCTGAATTATGAGACCTAGTGATGTTTGATTATTATTCCCGCCCCCTTGGAGCAGCTCTAGCCTTCCTGGCTGGATCCCCTTCTGTCTGATGTGCTGGAGTGCTGCATTAGCCTCTCTGCATGTCTCCCAGCTGTTCTCACTGAGTTCCTTCACTGAGCTGTCTAGGCCCACACACACACACAACCCCCTTCCCCCCAACCCCCCAGCCACATCCATGTCCTGAGATTACAAGCACACAGGCTCTTTACTTTGCTTGGGTACTGAGGATACAAGTTCTGGTCCTCAAGCACTTTACCTACTGAACCATTTCCCCAGCCCTTGTTTACAAAATTTTTATTAATGATTACATTTTGAGTCTATCAGCAAGTTAGTGGATTTGTCATATTTTTCTTTTAAAAAATAATGTACCAAATATCTGTGTATAAAGTGTTTCTTCTATTTATAAAGTTGAAAATTCTGCCTAATGCTTTTAGAAGTGTAAAAACAAAAATGAAAAATGCATTAAAATATTTTCTTTGCTTGTTTTAAGCTATGTGACTTGGTGAAAAATGGTTGATTTCTTAAAAACAATTTTTTTCAAAGAAGTGATTTTTTGTTGATCCTTGTGATTCTGATCTTAGAGCATATATCAATATTGATTTTTTAAAAAACAATGAAGAAAATTTAAATATTTTTAAGTGATAAATGTTGTGGGTCAGGCTTTCTTGGCATTATTACCACATTCTCCTACTAGATTAAATTTCTTACAGAATCAAAATGTCATTTCATCAAATTCTATATTCCCAGTGTCTGGCAGAATGCAGGGAATACCATAAAATCTTCATATTGTTGACAGACAGAAACAACACAGAGAAAAAATTAACAAAGTAGAGCTGTAAATACGTTTAGATCTGAAGAACTAAAATAATGAGTATGTATTTTTTTCTCCTGCTTTCCTCAAAGCTTTAGAAAATCATGAAATTTAGCCTTCAGAAGAGCAACCTAATATATAACATTTAAGATAGTTTTGATTAATTTTTAACATTTTCCCATGACTCATTAATAATAATTTTGGTATATAAGAAATTTTCATGACTAAAAGAACGTCTCAGAACAGGAACCACGTGAATCCTGTCTATGCAGATGCCACCTCCATTTGTACCTTTAGACTTCTATAAAATTCATTACCTGGCATCTTCATAATGCTTTCTAGAGAAGTATCTAATTTGTTGTCATCAACCTTATCTTCTAGGAAAAAAATTAAAATAAGAGAATACATAATACTAATGATTTTCAATTTCTAAAAATACTACCTATATCATTATATTCAATTTCTATATGAAATGGAAAGGGTATTTTGACATGTATTCAAATGCACACTAAGTTATTGTATCAGACATAGGAAACAAGTTCCTTTGATCATTTTCAGAGAGTATGGCTATAAAGCATAAGATCTTCTAACTTATAATCTAGTATAACATTAAATATAAGGTGTTACTACAGTTATAAGAATAATTAGGAGACGATATTTAACATGTAAGTAAGGCATTCAGAAGCTGTAGAAGGCAGGGATCAATTTCCAATTCATACTCTGAGAAGAGAGTGTTTTTTCCAAAATAAGTTCAGTATTCTCCAACAGCCACATAACAATCATAAATGTGTATTAAAGAGTAAAATGTATTTAACAAAATTGATTAAATTTGAAAGAAGTGGAAATGCAATAATCATGATTAGAAAGGTTAGTGCTTCTCTCTCAAAAATTGACAGAATATAAACAAACAGTACAGCTGACATAGTGGTGAACTCCTTTAATCCCAGCATTCAGGAGGCAGAGGCAGCTGAATCTCTGTGAGACTGAGAACAGCCTGGTCTCCATAACAAGCTCCAGACCTGCTGGGGCTACAGGGAGACCCTATCAAAAAAATAAAGAAATAAAACCTCTGCCTTCCTGCTTCTGGCTGACAAATTTAAACCTCTCAGAAGTGTATGGTAGAACTAAAGAAGAAGACAACAGCAGAGGGTCATCTGAAATTGTGCTTGGCTCACTGATAATCCCAGGAAAGAAATTAGAGATCATGACTTGAGCAGAAGAGATGCTTGCCATGAGGACTTGGGCTGAGTGTGCTGTGGAAGGGACTGCAAAGGACACGTGTGACTTCCTTACAACAGTTATTTTGGCCCTCACTCCACTGTTCCTAGCTAGGGCTGTTCTGTCCTGGAAGTTGGCCAAGATGATTGAAGCCAGGGACAAAGAGCTAAAGAAGAAACAAAAACATCAAGAAATACTGCAAAAGCTAAACAACTAAAAATGGATTGAAGGAACAAACCTGTTCTATAACCAAAGAAAAGTCATTTGGAAAATTATGTAGCTTTGGAAGGACTAAACTAAGGTTTCATTTGACTTCACGATAGTATTACCTAGTAATTTAAATCTGACCCTGTAGTAAAATCATGTTCTGACTTCAGTATTGTAATAATTTTAGGCTCGGAAATCAAAGGTTTTTGGTATCTACTGTCAGGCATTATAAATTAGCATTTTTTATACAGGTGTGAAAAAACCCTTAGTGCTGCAAAATCTGACCCCTGTGTGCAGACATGATGCCAAGAGTGGAAAGTTCCACACCAGAGCCTGTGATGGGTTGCAGTCAAAACACAGGTGCACAAAAATATATGAAATGACTTTCAAACTATATGAAATATAAATGGATTTTGTGTTTAGATTTGGACCCCATGTAAGAAAAGGTAGCAAATAAACAAGTTCAATAGAAGTCATGCTGATTACACATTAAATTTAGGCCTGAAGTTCTTAATAGCTAGGGCATAAATGGAAACTCGGGCTATTATTATACAAAGAAGTGTACTGGTCTTTTCAGAGACAAAAACTTCTTCTGATGTTAAATTTCAGTAGTTTTTTCTTTACCACTAATAACATGATGGAAAATTATCTTCAGGAGATATGGAAATACTTTTCATATTGTTGTTTTTAATGATATTTCTAAACAAAACAGACGGGAGCTGCAAAGATCGTTCAGTAGTTGGGAAGGTTTGCAGCTCTTGCAGAGAACCAGAGTTCGGCTCCCAGCACCCATGTCAGGTGGCTCACAACTACCTCTAACTCCAGTTTCAGGGTATCTGACGCTTTCTTCACTGGCACCTGCATTCATGTGCACATACATTCACAAAGACACACACATACACATAAATAATAAAATCAATATTTAAAAATAGAAGGGGTGTATTATTAAAGTTCCTCCAAAGAAGGCATTACTACAAAAAGAACTCCATAAATAATTTGGGGAGGAGGCTGGAGAGATGGTTCAACAGTTAAGAACATTTGTTGTTTTTCCAGAGGATCTGGGTTCAGTTCCCAGCACCCACATGGCCGCTAACAATGGTCAGCAACTCCAGTTTCAGGGGATCCAATGCCCTTTTCTGGCCTCTGCAGGACAATGCACACACATGATGCAATACATAAATGCAGGCACAACCTGTTATTTTGGTCTGTCAAATTTATGTGGGTGTGTCTACCCAAAGTAGGTACACAAAGGCTAAATAAGTAAACCTTACGCCCATATGAAGTGACATGGAAGGGGTATAATTTCATCTTAAAGTCAGAATTATTCAACTCACCGTTCTTTTCAGTATTGTGGGTGCAAGAAAGGGCAGCTCATCAGAGACTCCAGAAGGCTGAAACAACAGAAATACTATGAACACACACACACACACACACACACACACTCAACACATAATTGCCTCATCAAAAATGCTACCAAATTAAACTTTGTATTTACTTTACAAAGAAAAACGGAAGAGGCCCACACACAGAAATAACTGAAGAAACAGCAAAATAAGAAAAATCCAAACTAAAATAAAAATTCTCTTAATACCAATAGTAAAGCTTCTCACTGGCTTCTTAGTGAAGAAATATAAATTAATATCAAGAATTTACTCATCATATGCTAATATGGTTCATATAATTATACTTTAGTTACATTCAAGTAATTTTCAAATAGCCTAATTCTAAGTGCCAGTTCAGTCATTTTCAAATAATATTTTACCTTCACAAGGCACTTAGTGAAAAACAGTTGTGACTCTGGTGCTCAGACTAGACAGAAGAGATAACCAGTACTTTCTTGATGCTATAGTGCTTTTTGGTTGTGCTACATATTAAATATGCATGACACAAAGCATTAGAAATTTATGCTAGTATTGAATAAGCTTAAAGCCATCTGAAAAGCCCCTCTGGGATTTTCCCAAGAGACTGACAACATGGCATTTCCTATCTCCATTCAACTAATCTTACCTTCAGATACAGATGAAGACTGTGAATTGATCAAATAGTTCAGAAACTCTTCTAAATTCAGTGTCCCATCCTCTGAAAGGAAAAATGCCAGACAACATAAGAAAATTAAGTGACCAGATATAATAAACAGATGTCTATAGTAACTGCTCCACTGGAAAACACTCTGTAGATTTGGCTTTGAAACACGGAAATACAGTCAGAAAGACAGATGCATGCCCTTCATTCAAGCACACACACTACCCCTACAGATATTTCATCGCATGGTACTGCCGAAAATAACCAGATCCCAGCTAACAGTAACTAGAGCCTCGTTCGATGGTTGGTAGAAGAAAGCCTTGGATAATCCATGAAGCAAATAAATCCTCCAAGGATTTGAAAAGCAAAGGCACTTCGAAACTGAATACTCACCCCTGGGAGCCACATTCTTTAGGGCTGCCTCGATCACATCTTGGGGTAATACAACTCCTACATTTTTCATCATGGAGACTAGATCATCCAAATCTGTCTCTTTTTTTCTTAACGTAGGCCAGAGTTTTTCAAGGGGCCTTTCATTTCTAGGTACAAAAAAAATACACAGTGTAGGATTTTTCCTAAACCACTGAAATATCAATAGTAGGTCCTGAATAATAACTGTCACTTCTACCTGATTCTACCTGAGCTTGCTAAGCACTGTAAGTGCTTTACATGCAACATCCCATTTAACTTCCCAAATGGTGACATCACTATTAAAATTCTTCTAACTTACCAAGTACAAAAGGAAAATACCTTTGGAAAAGTGTCCAAAAATACAGTTACAATCTGAAGTCAATATTGAAGACAAGAATATTTAACCTCATAGGCAAAACATTTAGCCACTATGATAACCAACTCATTTTAGATATTTAACTTTGTGAGTTAGTAATTTATATTTATATGTGTGCATATTTATACATATACATGTATACAGGAATATAAGTCATGAAATAAGAAGGGACCATGAAGGGAGAAAAACAATCTTAAGGAATGAGGAGACAGAAAAAAGGAGGATAACAGAATATATGTGACACGAAGGAGGAAGGAATGGGGCAGCAGAAGGGGGCAGGGCAACTGGGGAGGGGAGGGGAGGAGCTGCAAGAGCAAAGGATTTGTGAAAAAAATCTCATAATGAACTCACTACTTTGTATGCTAAATAGGAACCTGTTATTCAACTCTCAGGTGGCAAAGAGATGCTAGGAGAAAGATTATATTTCACTAGAATGCTCAATATGAGGATAATCCTGAAAAAATTTCAATCAACCCCAAGAGGGGAAAAAAAGTCTAGTGTTGTTGAACTCATTACAGTTGATTCTTCATCACTCAGCTCTGTGGATTTATGAATGAAAATAGATACCACTTTATATATAATAGTAATAAATGAGTCAGAAAAGGAAACACTTACCATCAACAGGAGCACGTGAGTCCATCTCCTCTTATTCTTCTTCTGGGATACAAATCCCTAGGCCGTTCATAGTATTTCTTACATTACCAATATTCATTTTTGCGTTGGTAATGTTGCCCATGGCATTTGCAAATTCATTAATCTCTATTAAATGGAAATATTTTCAGTTCAGATGCAACCAAATTTTAAATAATAAACTTAAGCTATCATTCAAAAATTAGTAATAGATACCTGACATTTTCATTTAAAGACAATATAGGCCAGTTCAATTTGTGTTAAGTATTCACTTCTCTACATATATATTTAACTCTCATTTTATACACATAAAATGGAAGATCAAATGTAAGATAAACTCGTAAGACTAGATTAAACTTTCATTAATAACTGGAAATTAATGCTAATGTAAGAGGGACTTTACTCCCACATACTTGGCTCTACTCTATTTAATAGCAAACATTTTAATAAGGGCCTAATAGGGGGCTGGAGAGATGGCTCAGTGGTTAAGACACAGACTGCTCTTGCAGAGGACCTGGGTTTGATTCCCAGCACCCACACGGCGGCTACGAACCATTCTTAACTCCAGTTCCAGGGGAATCTGACTCCCTCTTCTGACCTCTGCAGCGCTGCACGACATGGGTGTACTCACATACATGCAGGTAATACACTCATACACATAAAATAAAAATAATAAATAAAATATTTTAAAAGGGTCTAAAACAGATAATGACCTGGTACAGAGAATGTGTTCCTGATAGAAAGATGAGAGAGAACATTTCCATGGACTAACTATGCTCATATCACTTTGCAGAAGTCATGACCGATTCCATCTGGGAAAACCCATTTTTATCATATAATAGCATGGTTAGTTTGTATTTGGGACTTTGGGATCTGTGCTTGCAACCCTTTAAACTGATGGTTAAATATCCTAGATGAAAATATAAGCACTGCCTTTTATTTGGGTAAAATATTTCTATCAAGAAATAGCTATAGGCTAGTAAGTAATTCTAATATAAATTTGGGAAATTAAACTCAGCTTTTCTGTGAGTAGGTATTTTATCATTAATAATTTGTGCATTCCCACATCTGTTCTGCAATATGAACCCTTCCTAGTTAACTGCTCTCCCTCAGATATCAGATGCATTCTCACCTGTGTATGGAGAATCCCAGTCTTCTTTTCCTCAATCACCTTATACTCAATCTAACAACACATTCAAGGTCCACAGCTCCTTCTTCAAGCTTCCCCAGTTCATTCTGATCTCATTAAACCCTAATACCTGTAGCTCATGTAGCTGGTTTCACAAGATTTAATACATACTTTACCAAATATATTTTCTCTCTGATCTCACCTAGGGAGAGAGCCTAGATCCAGCCTCCACATGGTGGTGAGCTTCCCCAAATCAAGCCTTGCCCAATCCCCTGTTTGGGACCACTGCGTAGCCGCTCCCACTTCAACAGGACTAGACCTCTCTGCCCCACAGTAGACTGGGCCCAGGCCTGAGAGTGTCTGGATCCAGCCTCCCCTCAGCGAACTTCCCAAATTGTGCTGTAAGTGCCTACTAGTAGGGGTCCAGACGGGTGCACGACATGGGTGCACTAACATACACTTAGGCAATATACTCATACACATAAATTAAAAAATAATAATAAGGGCTGGGCGTGGTGGTGCACACCTTTAATCCCAGCACTTGGGAGGCAGAGGCAGGCGGATCTCTGTGAGTTCAAGGCCGGCCTGGTCTACATAGTGAGTTCCAGGACAGCTGGGGCTACAGGGAGACCCTGTCTCAAAAAGACCAAAAAAAAAAAAAATAGTAATAATAATAATAATAAAATTTTTTTAAAACATGTCAATGCACTTATTCAACTCCCTACCACTCCAAAAACCCTTGCCTCTTTAAGGCAGTATATTACATTCAATAAATTAGTTTAAAGATGACACTTTGGTAATTATTCATCCATAAAATTATCTACTTCTCCTGTTATTAAATCATTTTTTTCCAGCTATGTGATGCCTACCCCTCTGATCATTTTTCCCTTTGGATCCCTAGCCTCTGTGTTTATCTTCCCTCTGCCCACCTACATGTGACCTTTTATCACAGAGTCCTTGCACCAGGATGTTATGCTTCAGCACAAGCTCATAGCAGTGGGGCCAAAAAACCATGGACTGAAATCTCTAAAACCAGGAACCAAAATGAATCTTTTCTCCTTTCAACTGCTTCTTTTAGGTTTTTGTCACAGCAACAAAAAGTCTGATTAACACACCGACTTAGTAGAATAGTCACAAGGAATAAGTTGTGTGAAGTAATCTAGCCAAATGAATGAACTCTAGGTTTTCTAAGAGATTCTGACTAAAACAATAAGGTGGAGAAAGAGTGAGGAAAACACCCAACATATCTTTGGCCTATGCATGCACATATTCATATGAACACATTCATACAACACATGCATACATATATGCATAAAGACTAAGTAGAACTAGGGGTATAGTTCAATGGTAGAGCACTTGCCTATCATGTGTAAGCCCTTGGGTTCAATCTACACACTGCTAAAAACAAAGAGAGATTAATACGCAACATTAAAAACTAAACTAAAACAAGCCCACCTTCATCTAAACCCTAAACTACAAAATGTGTGCCATTTATTTGACATCATAAGATATTAGTTATATATCTGTATGTAAATAGGCCATCAACTTCAACTATTATGGCTCTTTTCCTAAGTTCTAAGTGTTTTAAAACTTCTCAATTATTCTTACCTCTAAAATCTTGGAAACACTTATTGCTCTTCAGCGCTAAAAGAGCATCCTTTTGGGAAATGCGTCCATTTTCTATAAAGAGGAAAACATTACAAAGGTTGAATTAAGAGTCAAAAAACATCAAGGATAGCCACAGTGAGCTATACTGGTTTGTTTATTGCCCCTTCAAGTGCTTTATAATTTCTTGCCCCACAGACTTTTGTCCAGAATGCCATCCAGTGTGTACATATTCAAATCTTATCCATACACTTCATAAGCCTGCTTTTTCCAAAGCATTCCCTTCATCCTGCATTCCCTCTAAACATTGCTCTGTCCCTTCCCTTTCCATCACAGGCTGAGTTCTGGAAGGAAATGTTTTTACTCATTTCTTTACTCACATCTCCAAGTGCTGGGGTGGCATCATCCATTAACCACCATTAAACATGTTCTTACCAGGTTCACCAGGTAACTTGGTTACTGCCAATCTAATGGACATTTTCTAATATTTTTTCTAATCTAGTACTTTTCTTTTTTAAAGTAACTTCCCTTTACCCTGTTAATTCAGCCTTTTCTTATTTTTTTCCATCTTTCTGGTTAATTCTTTTTAAAAAAATATATTTTATTTATTATTTTTATTTTATGTGTATGAGTGTTTTGCCTCCATGTATATAAGTGCACCACCTGCTGTGCAATGCCTGCAGAGGCCAGAAGAGGGTGTCAGATCCCCTGGAACTGGAGTTATGGACAGTTGTTAACTACCATGTAAGTGCAGGGAATCGAACCTGGGTCCTTTGGAAGAACATCAAGTGTTCTTAACCACTGAACCATCTCTCTAGCCACCCCCACCCCTGGTTTTTCTTAAGGCACATCATACACTACTCTTTCTCAACAATTACTTAATAGATAGCATGCCCAAGTGCTCTGCCCTTAGTTTTTGTGTCATTATACCACATCACCTTTACCTGTCCTGTAACTTGTTGGTGACTTCTACTTCCAGCCTAGATGGCTAACCACTGTACATTTTCAATACTTTGTCCACAAGTACATCCTAGCTAAATTTTTCATTTTTGTGCCAAAATCTGATGGTCCTCCTGAATTTCCACACATTAGAATGCATCAGATATTCTGGATTATTCGTGTTCCTTAACATCGCATGAACTTCTACACTTTGCACATACTGAGTATTCTTTCCTAACTCTTTGCGCCCCCTTCCCTGAATCTCTGAATTTTGGCTAATTCTTACTCATATTCCAAAATTCAACTCCAACATCCTTCTTCTAAGAAAACTCTTCTGGTTACCTACCCTATCTAACTCTGTGTGGACTAGGTACCTAGTATATGTGTTTTTCTATATTTACCTCTATCTATATAACATCACATACTTGGCTTTTACTTCTCTATTGTTACATACCTTTTTGAGGTTTGTTTCATTTTTTAGACAGGGCTTCATCTATCCCAGGCCAGTTACAAGTTTGCTATATAGCAGAAGATGACCTTGAACTTCTGATCCTCCTGCGTCTACTTCTTGAGTGCTGGGAATACAGACATGTGCCACTACATTTGGTTTATACAGTGCTGGGGATTGAACCTGGTGCTTCATGCATGCTAGGCAAGCACTATACCAACTGACTGATGTCCTTGGTTTTGGTTTTTGTATCTTATCTCATTAAAAGCTTTCTAAATATATTTTTATTTCTTTTTTTTCTTTGTATATGTTATATATTATATAACCCCTAACATCATAGGTACTGAAGATCAGGTCTGTCACACATGCAGACTGGGTAATATACAACTCTAAGAGGTACTATTCACACAGATGACAAATACCCCTTATGTTGTCATGTAGTGGCCCTAGACAATATGACTCATAAAGCAATGCCCAAACCCATTTAAATAAGGTCAAAAGGAAAAGACTTCTAGGAATGGACTTTATTTTTCCATATTTTTATTTTTACTTTATTATGTTTTAAATTTAATTTATAATTATCATATATTCATTATGCAAATTGACATGTGGTTTTATTTCATACACTTATTAATATATCATGTATTTTGCTTATATTCACTCTCTTCCCATTACCCTTCTGGTTCTCCCCTTATACTCACTGGTCACATCCCTTGTCCCTTACAGTTCCACTCTACTTTAGGAATTAGTAAAAAAGTACACACGAAAGCTTCCAAATTTGAAAATTATCTATCAATATCAGAAAACTTTAAATTCAATGCATAAATCAAAGTTTTGATTTACACTCAACCTCATGTCATAAATATCTCATCCAGAGAGGAGAAAGTACCCCCCACCTTATTCTCTTCCTGACAGTTTCAACTCACCCCAACCTTTCCAGAAAATTATTTTACCTTCCTTGATATTCAACAGGCACTAAAGACAAACAAATATGCCCTAACCCAGTGGAATCAACACAGGATAGTTTATAAGACTTTAGAGGGAGGTCTTAAAAATGCTTACTATAATTATTCAAATATGTTCTATCATCCAGCGTGCTAGCATACATCTAAACTCCAAGAACGCAAGAGGCTGAAACAGAAGGATTAAGAGTTCAGATCAACCTGTGCAACATAATAAGTTCCAGGCAAGCTACATAGGGAGACCCTGTCTCAAAAACTCAGACAAGTAGGGCATGGTAGCCCACGCCTTTAATCCCAGCACTTGGGAGGCAGAGGCAGGCAGATCTCTGTGAGTTTGAGGTCAGCCTCATCTACATAGCGAGTTCTAGGCCAGTTGGGGCTACAGCAAGACCCTGTCTCAAAAAGACAAAAAAAAAAGCCTCAAAGAAAAAACTTAATAAAACTTAATAAACTTAATAAACAATCTCAGTGAACCACTCTCTTAAACTAAATTGACTGTCAGTGATTATATATACCATCAACATCCACTGTTTTCTCTAACAGCTGTTGATCCTCAAGTTTTAAAGAAATGTTGAGATCACTGAAAGCATCTTTTAAGTTGTTAAATTGAATTTTGTCAGAGTTCATCAAGTTGATAGTACTAAGGGAAGTTTGTATATATGAAAGCAAATGGAGAGTCTCTAACTTAATTTATTCTTTATAAATGTTTTCACTTTATATATTATCAATAATACACCTATAATTCATGCTGCTTGCCAAACATATATGGGTGCTAGCATTATCTTAACATTAGCTCTATGATTTAAAAGTTAATAAAATTGGTCAGAAATCCCTTTATTCTAAGATTTCCCTAATATGACCAATTGCTTTTAATCTCAACATTAAAACAATTAAGAGGAGGGGGGGAGAAATGGATGGAAATTATGTAAATACAGTACTCATGTATGAAATTCCCAAAAAATAATAAATTAAAAAAATTTTAAAGGAGAGGATGAAAGAAATGACTCAGCAGTTAAGAGTGCTTTCTGCTCTTGCAGTGTGGATCACAACCGTATAAACTTGGTGAGGCAAAGATTTCTTTATTTTATATTATTTTATTATTCTTAATTGAGAGAGAGAGACAGAGAGAGACAGAGAGAGACAGAGAGAGAGAGAGAGAGAGAGAGAGAGAGAGAGAGAGACACACAGGGGCCAGATTTTGGGGATCGAGAGCGCTCATAACTGCTGAGCGCTCTCTCCACCACAAAGAGTCTTAT